CAATGTTCTATTTGTGTTATTGAATGAAAGGACTAGTAGCTGGTTATTTTTTTAGGAGATCTTTAATGCTTCATTACTGAAGCAATCTGATCTATTCCACATCAGGGAAAATATATATGCTTCTGGAAATTTGTAGTGAATTTCAGGGCACAATCATTTCCAGCAACACCCACAGGTGATGGCATGAACTCTACCGAAGTCAAGGAAATTACCTTTCAAACTCTTGGCAAGAATTTCATTCAGGATACTCCAAAAGCTTCAGAGCACTGAGTCTACTGAGTTGACTGCTAAAGGAAACACTCAGTAATTAACAGTTGGATCTCAAAAATTAAGAATTAACAGATCTTCAAGTCAAAACACGAAGTTCCGTCTTTTTGGGGATTAAGCCCATGGTCACTCACTACCAAGTGCTGTGTTTGTCACACGTAACTAAGTCACTGAAAGATTATCAAATCAACGCAAAACCACAAGGAAATATTTTTTTTAATCTTGTATTTAAACATATTTCTAAGTAGAGTAAACACCACAGAAAGTTAATTTAAGGGCTTTTAACCAAGAAAACTCCAAGTTTTGATAACAAAGTTGGGGGGGGTTTGGGTGGGTTGGGGTTTTTTTGTTTTGATTTTCACTTCAGTGGTTGCAGCTTGAAGATTACATGCATATAATTTAGAAGTTGAACTAACAAAGGTGGTGATAATAATTTTTATATCTTTTCCCTCACATGCCATTAGACTTTCTTTTATGACTATTGGCTCTCCAGGTCAAACTTTATATCTTCCAAAGGGAAAATAATTTTGACCATTTCTAAAAAGATGATCTATCCCATAGAGTAAAATCCACTTTCCATAAGGACAGGCATTTATTTCACATACATATAAAAAGCCATTTTAATATTATATAAATACTCATTTATCTATCTATACAGCTCTCTAATTTCATTACAAGCAGGTTTATGAGTTTTGGAACGAACCACCATGCAGGAAAAGACATCTGTATGAAAGCATTGTGGACGCCTGGTGGTCATGAAAGTATGCTCCACAAATATGGTATTTCTGAAACATCTGGAAAAAAACCCACCACATCACAGAGCAGAAACTTCTCCTACCCTCAAGCTCTTCATATTACAAAATGAATAAGCTTTTCTAGGCAAGCCTTGTGAAGTTCTCAGTAGGCTGTGCTCCCTTCTTGCGGACTCTCAGAAAACAAAAAACAATGTCGGGGAAAAGTAGTCTTGATATACATTTCTAACTACCAATTTTTAAGTTCAGGCCAATTGAAACATTTCTGTAGATGATAAATACATTTTTTAAAAACACTAACATGCCTTTTGTCACACTGCAATATAGAATTTTTTTTAAACTACCACTTATTAAAAAATAAGTGCATGGATAGAAAGACCACAAAGCATTAAGACAATTAGGCAAAATGATGGATTTGAACACATGCTACGTTTCACTGTTAACATGTATGTGTAACTTCCATTAATGTCAGTATGAGTTATGTGTGCACTGCTAAAATAATATGACCATAACAAAAATATTTCCTCCAGAACTAATATAGCAATATTTTTAATAGACATTTGGGAACAAAAAAAAAAAATCAAAAAAAAAATCACATATTTAGAAAGTAACATGCAAATGCAAATCCTTCTCCAAATCTAACAATTTGAAATTTTTTCAAATAAATCTTATTTTGTCACATGTTGGCATCAAGTTAAGAATAACTTGATGTTTACCTCCATCAAATTACCTTTCATTTAATGGGCACTTATCTAGTTTCCAGTTCCAAAAGACCAACCAGATAATGAATAAGATTAAGCTGCTATCCATTTTTATTCTAAACTTCCTTAAATAACTGAATGTATATGGGAACATGTAATGATGACTGAAGAAGTTATCTAAAACTGACAACTGATTGTAGCCGGTAAATTAACACGGATCTTGGCAATGTCAGCCAGATGGGCGTAGAATGCAGAGTTATGTTTGGAACTTGAACATAATATAAGCATAGGAAATCGTTGTGAATGGCCTTAAACACACAGTTCATGCCTATTTAACTGGAAGTTGGCACCCAAAAACTGTAATTGCTCAATATTAAATTAAAAAAATGACAAATAAAAGTTATGGTCAATGTTGCCAATTAATAAATTATCTTAAAATATCAGAGAGAAGACACATTGTCTTAGTATATTGCTACAACAGAATTATCATTATTCTGTCAGCGGTTGTTTGGGTCTTAGCTAGCTTCTACAATCTGTTTTTAAGTATACTTTATTCATAAAAAGAAGTAATAACATATTTAGTATACTCTGTTGTAATGCAGCAGTTTTGCAATATTGTTTGTCATACACTTATATCAGTGAGCAATTTAAAAAATTAAACTACTGTAATAAAATATCTGAGTTATTTCTAAAAGTTTACTAATACATGTATATCAATTCATGTTGTTTAGTATATCTTAATAAATAATCTAAAATTAAGATATATGTTTTATTTTATATTTAATAGCAGGCGTGTAGCCCTTCCCATACAGAGCTCAAAAAAATTAGTAAGTGTGTTCATATTTGCTTGGTTCAGTACTAATGTTGTTAAAGAGCCAATAAAAAGAAAAAGTAAATATGATCATGTTAATTTCTGTCATTATTCTATTTGTTCTTTCTGTTTAGTAAAATTGTGCTGTGATTTTATATATTTTATTGTGTCCATTAACTCTATTTCCTATCTCCTAGACCAGCAAAATCATCCTGATGTCTGATAGCCATATTCATTTCTTTCCAGAAACAACAGAAGTCCTGTCTGTTTCCATCTCCAATACGAACTCAGCTTTGTAAGATATTTCACAGAAAGTATAGTTAGGATAGAATTAAAATAGTAATAGAATATGGGTTTTTTTAAATGAAAGTGAGTTCTAATTCTAGGTTATTAGCTGAATCACAGATTTCAGGGGAAGTGATTTGTATAGGAGTTAGAGCATCAGAGTATTACAAGTAAAAAGACAGGGCTATGTAGCTGGGAAAGCTCCCTGACAGAGGATTAGGTAACCCTGTGGGGCTTAAGTAGGAAGAAGTATGCATTATAATTAATTGTATTTTATTATTACAGGTCAGTTTTGTTATTAACTTAGAATTTCAGATGAATTTTAGCTAGTTCAAGATTAAAAATTAAAACTGCATATGAACAATTGCTTTTCTTGAAGATACAAAAAAAGGTAATGGCAGAAAAAGTCTACATACTTGCACAGCTAACAAAGTAGCAATTAAGAAAGCAAAGGCAAAAAAGAAAAATGAGAAAGAAGTCTTTTAAAAAGAAATCATACTAATGACTACTCAAAGAAACGAAAAAAAGCCCCACACTTTTAACTAGAAATTTTTATTAATTTAAATTTGTAGGTGCTAAATTAAAATTTTCTTCTAATTTTACTATTTTAGTTTTTAAATTGAAACTGTAAAAACACACTATATGTTTATATCTCTTTTTTAATTCCAAACTATATCTAATTTGGAACTTTGATACTGTGGCTTTCACCACTAGTACCATGCACTCAGTATTTTAGTCGTAAAATAAAACAGCTTTTATCAAAAGAAAAGTCAAACGTCACCAGTTTTTGCCAACCTCACTTCCCAGCCTGAAGATACATGCCTTATACAGTTCTGTGAGATTCTGTGTACCCAACCAAAAAAGTCACAATAACAGAATTAGAGACTGCTTTTTCCCCACTATGTTGTTAATAATTGAAAACTATGATAAAAAGAAAAAAAATAATCATAGCATTAGGACAAAAAACAAGCACAAACTGAAAGGAACAGACCAAAGCACTATAAAGAAAATAGATGACTGCATGAACTATACTAGCATTGGGCACCTGAGTTATCATAGATGAATTAACATCTACATATAAAAGAAAATTAGAAAACTGAAAAATGTATCTATTATAGAATATAATATCACATACTACTCTAATTCATATGTGCTCCCCTTTTTCTGTATAGATACAGAGTTCATTAAAGTCAAAAGCAGAAGTACTTTTGATTTCACTGGAAACGTTCACGCTTACATTACTGTATTTCTGCACCTATATTACATAGCAGCCATTCTTAAAACCTACTTTTATACAACTCTAGTAAGCATATGTCTCCATTTCCACTTTGCGTTATTTACAGCAACATTATTAATATCACTTTTTCTGATTATTTACTTTCCTGTAAAATGTAAGGACATCTACAGCAGCTTAGCTGAAGTCATATAAGTGTTTTGAGTTTGGCTTAAGTGTTTTGGGTTTTTCTTTTCCTCCCTCAATAAAGCAGTTTTGAAATTACAACTGTAAGTTTTCTTTGTTGAATGTTAACTACACACTCACCAGCCTAGACAAGTCATAACAGGTTCACTCTTTTCTGCCAATTTTAAAGATCATGTCAGAGCTTAAACATCCCGTAATTACAGATACTTACCTTTATTGTGGGTAGGAAGTTAGATCTAAATTACAGGTCTATCTTCCTTTTTCAGTTCTATACTTTTACACATAGTGATAATGTGTATGCAAATAGGTTGTCAGTTTGAGTTTGCCGGGTTTTTTTAACCAATTCAATGCAATAAACTTTGCACCATCCATATAGAGTTAATAAACCCCTTTCCTTGAATTTGACACTAACAGAAACTCCAATATAGAATTCCCACTGAAAGATGGGGCTTTAAACCCTCGGTTTCTCATGGAAATTATATTGTGCTGATATTTTATTGCATGTAACAAAGGACAGCTTTCAAAAAATTCTTCACGTGTCAATTGTTGAGTACTTCTAAAATGAAGACTTTTGCATTCCCACATTTCACAAGGAATTTAACAGTCTTACAACTCTTAGAAGTCTTTAGACTTAAACAGACTTAAGTCCCTCAGACTTAAATATATACATAGAAAAACACTTACAGAAAACAAAAAAACTTCTTTCATGGCAAGAAAGTAGTAATTTTAATTTTTCTAGAAATCAGAGAAATCAAAGTACTTACTTCATTTCTAGAATTTCTTCAAGCTGTTTTCTTCGCTCTATTCTCAGGTTAGCCAGATGTGCTTCTTTTTCAGCCAAAGACTGCTGTGTTGAGGCAAGACGGGCTTTGGTAGAGTCTAATTCTTGTCTGGTCTTTTCCAGTGCATTCATCAGCTCTTCTACCTACGAGAGAAAACTTTTTAAGCTCCGTATTCTTTACAATAAGTAATCTGCAATCTATATAAATCCAGGAAAAAAAAATCTATATAAATCTAGAAAAAAAAACCCCAATACCAAACAACAACACAAAAAGAATTATTTTAAGTAAAAGGCTGTTCAAATCCATTCCTATCTTAACTGTTTTAAAAACTAACAGAAGTAGTCATTAAATACCAAAAAAAATCTTTTTCGACGAATCCATCGTGTAATATGCAACATTTACACAAAACAGAACTAACACAGATCACCAGAAACCTATTTAACCTGGGCCACAGCCACATACAGACACAATTTATAAATATTTTCTGCATTGTGTATATTATTTAAATTCAGGGTGGTGGTAACTTATCATAATAGTGATTTCAGAAATTTTAGATGCAGATATAGACATATATTTTAATATAAAACTGGTCATGACAATCCATTTATTTTTGATCAAAAAATGCAAACGCTTCTGTGCGGAACAGGTTGCCCAGTGAAGCTGTAGACTCTCCAGTCCCTGGGTATTTTCAGATCTTTAAACTGCATTGCCTCTAGTGGTCCCTTCTAACCTGAATTATTCTATGCTTCTGAACTTTAAATGTCTGTTAATGCTCTAAAAACAACCAAGTAATGGTCCTCATGATAACTGTGAGAATCTCTGAAGTATGAAACATAGGAAAGTTAGGCTGATCCCGGTTTTTCTTTAGTGTAGGTAAATGTCAACTGGATGTAGGATAAATTGCTTATTGCAGGAATTCAGAAAACCTTCATTTTTTCAGAAAACAAAATTCAGAAGTGAAAAAAAGTGTATGGCATGGTCTATCACACTAAACAATGAAGACTACATGTGACACCTGTCAGGCAGCTGGAAATTTACTTGTGGGTTGAACCATTATATTCACAGAACCAGAGGGTCACAAATAGTCTCTGGTACCCAGGACACCAGTATGATTTCCCCCTGTTCAAATTATACAGTTTACATTAAGAGCTGCAAGTAAACAACAGATTTAATTTGCTTCTATGAGATATAATGATTTAAATAATGAATGTCCTATTTCCTGTATTTTCTTTTTCACCTCCTTTGTCCAAATATTAACATTTTATAAATTAGCCAACACTTCAGGAATAACATCTAAATAAAATGCAATAGGAGAGAGGATATATTCCAGTTGGTCATGTTATACAGGTCATTGAAAAGTGTTCACTTCTGCTGGTGTATTGAAAAGTCTGACAATATTCCACTGTGGTCACAAAATCAATGCGTCTACAGAGAAAATAAGATGTTTTCTCCCAAGTTCATGCTTAATTGGTGTTTGTTGTTGTTATGTAAATCCTCCTAGCCTGCAATCAGTATTTATAAGCCACATGTTTTTGTTTCAATTTGAACACACATTGCCTCCTATATAACAAATTCAATAAAGCAAAATTAATAACACAGTCTTCATCAAATTATAATGAGGACTCACACCCTGTTCGAAAATGATACACTGATTACTTAGTTCTTCTACACCAGCTGCATCTGCATCTTTAGAAACACTCTGATAAGATCAATGGAATACTAGAATACATCTTATACTCTTCAGTGTGTAAGACACATTTCCTAAATGCAGAATCAGAATTACCAGTAGCATTGAAGCTACTGATGTTCAACTTTCCACTCAGAAAGTAAAACCAGTGTAACACTGATATGAATGAAATGGCAAGGAATGCAAATTGTGCAGTAGAGTCTGTGCAGGTGCAAGATTCCATTAAAGCAAACTCTCAAGATTAAGGTTTTAGATATCTTTGTAAAATGACTATCTAGTGAACTTTCACAGTAGAAGCAGCAATGAGAAAATACACTTGAGGGAAATAATAAAAAAAATAAAAATATTTGCACTTAAATCCCGGGGGGGGGTGG